AGAACCAATTGTTGCGCAGCTCCGCTAACAACAATTAATACAAGTGTGGCGATCCTTAAGGAAAAGATGATTGCCATATAAGAGAGCTCTCAGCGTCACGTCGTAAAACCTATTTAGCTGTCTAAGCATCGGGAAAATAATGTGAATTCCGGTGCAGTCATTACACATTCCTCAGTTCCAACCGAAGATAATAAAAACACGCCTTTTAAATTTTGCTGAAAATATTAAAAGAGAGGGGCGCAGAGAGCCTCGATTCTCATTTTGGCATCATATCAAAAATATGGGAAACATGACTGTCGGCAGACAATACTTTTTTTAATAAAAGAGATTACGACTAATTTTTAGACTTAGTGCGATTTGTTTAAATCAAACTATTCCGAAATGTTAGGTATGCGTAGCTAAGAAATTATCAACTAAATATTAAGTAAAAAGTTAACGTTTATAATTCAGGTAAAAGTTTTAAGGAGTTAAGGTTAATACTACGACTGTGATAAGCGAAATAAACGAAAGGAGAAGAAAGTAAGAATAAAAAAACAGAAACAAAAAGAAAAAAGAGGAAGAAGCAAGCATAAATCGGGTGGAAGCGCTGCGCTTATTTGAGACGCAAAAATTTACGATTTTATGCATACGGGCTTAAAGCTTAAAACGCTCCGTTCAGTTCAATTATTAAAGATTTCTATGTAGAAAGGCTTCGAATTTATCCAACGGCTCCGTTGATGAAATTAATTTTGTAAATTAAATATTAATATAAAAATTATTGCATAAAACGGAAAATTGGAAGCGTATGGAAACCCGCCAGGAGACGTTTACAGTGATATCACTTAATTTTTCAAAAGTCTATCATGCGGTTAAGCAAATTGAATTGAAGCATGACGTCCCGAATTATGCTATCCTGTTCGGGTTAGGAGTGAAACGAGAAATTTCAGCCTGTATTTGTAAAGCTAAGCAACGGCTCCTGTCCTAGATTACGTGATTTGCGTGATGATGGGAAACTGCTTTTGAATATATTTAATGAAATAAATGTAACATTGATATGAAGCGCAACAAATAATGAAAGGATATTCAAGAGTATTTCTGACTGAACTAAATCGTTTTGGCTTTAAGAGAAGTATTGAATTCTTTAGACCATGCCTTAGTAAAGCCTAGAAGACTTTTCTGTTTTTGGACAATTAAAGATTATTGGTTAATTAGTGAAGCCATCTTAAATCGAAACGGAAAGTGATTCAGAAATTGATTCTGAATCGATCGGTATAATAAATATGGATCCATTTCAAATCCTTCCCTATATCACATACGTTGGCACTTAATATACTTACAGAAAAACGTAAGAGGTAGAGTTATGAGTCCATTTTAAAGAATTAAGGCTATTTGTCTTTAGTTAAACTTAGCCATATTCAATTTAACTAAAACTGAGCATATTTTCAATAATTGGACTGAAGCAACTAAGCGTTTTCAAGGCTAACCCATTTTAAAATTTGTAAGCGAACCTTAAGATAAATGGTAGAAAAATTTCTTGCGGCGTACTGCGGATGTTACACATGTAGAGTCGGTTGTATGGCATTTAAAGAAAAAGACATAGCGTTGCAACATATAAATTCTTTCGGAGAACGCGGTTCGTATGTAGAAATTAGCGAAAATAGAGAAATCTACGTCGAGCTAGTGAAATACTTGAACCCATGGGCACTATCTTGTTTCTGTAAGCTTCAAAGTACGCCCAAAGATTTGCGCTGACGAAGAGGATAAAAATTTTTTTTAATATTATGAACGTTCTTTATAAAAAGGTTATAGCCCTTAATTAGCTTTAGTATACAAAGCATCCAACTCTTTTTGCACGTTCTTTTTTTGAACAACCTTGAAATAACACCGTTGGTCAATAAGAGCAAATATTCTTTTTTACACGAATTTTATGTACTAGCACGATTTCTTATATATACAGTAACAAAACACATTTGAGAGAATACTGTGATCAGAAGTCAGTCAGTTTGCGCCCACTTGTGCTACAACCCAACAGCTGTGCTATAAATACCTGACATATCTAGGAATGATAGCATTTTTGATCCAGTTCGCAATAAACGTGCACGCTTGTTATCACGTAATGAGTAGTTGGGAAATTAATTTTTATTTCCAATTTCAATTTAAATTTTTATATGTCGTATGTACCTTATGGACTGAATTTTTCATTATTACTTTTTTGCACGTTTTTTTTTTAAATATATAGAGTTTTTTCATCTTACACGGTTTTTGTAGTTATGGAACGTATCACTAAATTTACGATACGTCGCATATATTTTTTACCTGAATTTTTTTCCCCGAATTTACAAGGAGTGGATCAAACGTGTAAAAAAGAGTTGGCTGTATATAGTATTTTTTCTTTCTTCTGCTAAAATTAAGCGAATCAACAATAGATGATTCGCTGCGTTGAGGGGTAAGCCTTGAAATTGGTAAGAGTAGGTTTTCAAATCGAAATACTCATTATGAAGTTCTTTGGAGTACGACATTTCTCCTGTTGAAGGCGAATCTTTGATACCTATCAACCTAAGCTACCTATTTTATAATTTGTATTAAATAAGTTTTCCTAAAGAGGAATGATTTGTATCGGCACCCTATGCAGCGCTTACAATTCTATATAGGCGAAGCCTTTATGGAATCTAATGATAAAAGCTTTGCGGTCAAACGGCTTAAACGATTAAATTAACGTATGCGTAGCAGCTGCAATAACATATGACTGTCACTAAGAAGCGACTACAGCGAAAACGAATGCTGTAGGATGTAAGATTGTATCCTACATGTCATAGACTTTAAACAAAAACTTTTTATTGAGAATACATTTTTTTTAACGATAAGAACAATTTTTTTTTTGTGATAAGCCTAAAATAAATTGCAATCTTTTATAGGCTATGTGTGGAAGGATTTTGTTTATTGTGTCGACGCGTCTGCCATCCGTTAGGAGAGTTAAATGGCAAGTGACAATTTCTTACACCAATTCTTGCAGTCATAATGTCTATAGGACTTGGACGGATGCACATGATTCTGTCGCCAGTAAAGAACATGCATCCTTTATAAGGTTGTTGATGGATATTTCTGAGTGGGTGCCAGACGGGAGAGAATAAATCAAGTATAAGACCATCCTTTGACAGCGTGCATAAAAATGCAGTGAATTGAATTGTAAAGCAAAGAAAATTTTATTGTGCATTCAAGATGTATGATGAAGAATGCAGTTTTAAAAATTGAAGCTCATAAAAATAGTTGCACACTTAAGACTTTCAATTACCATATTTAGTATGGTAAGAATAATCCAAATTGTTTAATAATCAACAATTTACGTTTCTATAATAAATAATTTGACTTCGTGGACAATAAAAAAAAAGAATAAAATTCAATTACTCATGGCAAAGTGTAAATAATTAAATGGCAATGATTTTAGTTGCGTCGGAAAGGCACTAAGATAATTGTGAAATTCTGCATATACGAGAATGAAGTGAATATGAGTTATCATCGGAACTGAACGAAAAGAAACGGAAAATACATAAAAAATGTATAAAGATAATCTAGCTCAACATGAGAGGACGTTTTGGCGGAAACACATTTTGCTACAAGACTGTATATCTTCCCCAAATAGATTTTATTAATGGTAAAAATATTGAAGGGAGCTAGAGAATCGCTATCTCACGTATTTCAAAGCAAGTGCAACAAGTCAGGAAATTGACTTATCTTTTCTACCCATGGAACAAAGGAAATTTTCATTGTTTATAGTATTAGATGGGCGTGGTCGACTTTTTTTAATTTTTTTTGGAATAAAAGTGGAAATTTATATGATGTATCTGGGATAGTTTCTATGGAAGGAGTATAACTCAGGTTTTAGATCATATCAGGTGTGTCGTCGTTTTCAAATTCTTTTGCAAATTTGTAGATGATATCTTACTTTTTTTGCGAACAAGACCATGTCTACAACAGACATTACGCAGACGGAGGGATGGGCTTCATGGATGGTTTCAACATTGAGGATACTAATTAAAAAGGCTTAAAGCGAAATTAGTAAAAAATAAAGTTTCAGAGGCAACCCTTGTAAAGACTAATGCTTGGAAAATAGTTTCGGATTATTTTTAATATTCGATTTAATAATAATTGAAGCTGCATCAACGGAAACGAAAGCAAACGCAAAACTCGACGGCCGGAATCTATCTTTGCAGGGAAGGCAAACGGATTTATTTAAAGAATCGAACGGCTAAAAATCATATCAGGACATCATCCGATTATTATGAAGAAGCCGGAAATGTGTACGTAATTGTGGGCCTTATGTTGAAGGATCGATTTTTGAAAGTGTTTTCTCATTATCTGCTACGCTGCTTATGAGTAGATGCCATTTCCAGGCCACATGTACCGTTTTCAGCACACGCTGACAAATACAACAATTTTGAATCGATACTTGTTTCCTTGTTTAAGAAAGAAATTTTCCGTCGTCCAATGTACCGTTATTGGCACATCTTGCGGGCAGTGTTGTAAATTTTTTGTCATTGTGTGGCGTGGGAATTTAAAATATTGATTTTTACGTGCTCAAATACATTTTTACATGTGCTGAGAGCAGTACACGTGGCAGAAGACGTGTTAAAAGAAAAAATTAACATATCTAATTTTGACTCCGTAAGATAAAAATACCTAAATGATATTCAGTTAGAGAAGCAGATAAAAAGCGAACTTAAGAAGGTTGAAAAATGGTCCCCGATTTTATACTCAAGTTCATGCTTATTAATATTCAGTTATGTAACGGATAAGCAGAACAAGTGCAATTTTCAAAGTTGTTATTTTGCAAGAAAATATTAATGAATTAAAAAGAGCTAAATTGTAATAAAAATTCTATTGAAAATAAATAAAAGAATAAATTACGATAACGAACAGAAAAGAAAAAGGAAATGATAAGGAAAAGGAAAAAAGGAAACACAAAAGTTAGTTTTGTCTTAATGTAATTGATTAATGTTTTTTAAATTAAATTTTAGCCATACCGCAGCGGCTGCAGCGACAGCGGTAGCGCGTGATTGAGCCGCTTTTAGTTGTGCCTGTAGGTGCAATGGAGGATGAAAATAACGGCAGGGATCTCGAGTGCATCTACCTTTTACGGCGTCCATGCACACCGTAATGGAACCGTCGTCGTGTCTTGCTACGCTCTCCTGCGGATGCGCAAAACGACATTCTGATTCGGCACGCTTGCAAGCACCGCGCATAAATTCACGGCAAACCTAAAGGTTTTTTTTTTTTTTTTTTTTTTTTTAA